TGAAGTGAGTTGGGCTGAGGAAATGTGACCCAAAATCACACAGCTGGTTTTTATTCCTTAGACAGGACTAGAACCTAGTTTTCTTTTTTTTAGCTTGGAGTCTTAATCACTAGATCAAACTGGCTCTCAACTTAATCCTGTTTTATTTATTAAATACTCCCATCTTACCAGTTAAGTGAAAGGTGCAATGCCAATTTATTTTCTATATCGGGGTCACCAACCTTTTGGAACTCTGGGACCACCAAACTCATAATTTTAAATCCCGCAGACCAGACTCTGGGAAAATCCCAAAAAAAAAGTCTGCAGGAAAATTCCCCACCCCATTTTCCTACTGATCATTATTTTGGGGGGATCGCAGGACACTGTCTCCAGCTCCATTCTCAGGGGGAGAGAGACTTTTGGCTTCATGCAAGGAAAGCAGCAGAAGCCTTTCTTTCTCTCCCCTAAACTCCGCCAGAAATGAGTCTTTGTGAGACTTGTCGTGCTGGCACAGCTTCTTGGAGCAGGATGCCTTGCAGGATCCCAAAGACTCATTTTTGGTGGAGTTTGGGGGAGAGAAAGACTTTTGCTGCTTTCCTTGTGTGCTGCCAAAAGCAGAAGAAGCGGAAAGCAGCAGCCTGGTGGCCAGGTGAGGCGCGTGGGGCAAGTTCCCCCCCACCGCCCTTTCCCCCCTCCCGTGGGCAATGTGGGTGGCACAGCCTTGTGTTCCTGCGCAGCCTGGATTAATTGCTTTACAGGGTGCTTTGGGGGTGACATTTCTCTGCAGACCACCAGTGGTTCCCGGCCCACTGGTTGGCGACCACTGCTCTATATTGTAACTGGTAAGTTACCTACAATATAGAAAATACAAATTCAAATCTACAAATAGTAACATAAATGCCTGTGGGTGAAAAAAAAACCATATAGTAGATAGGAAGGATTGCATATTTAATAAATACAGTTTAATGAATACAACAATCTTGATACTCATCATTATTTGGTTCTGGGAGCCACGATGAATACCAATAACAATGAGTACCAAACCATTTTTTCCCATAAAAATAATGTAATAATGTAATGTAATGAATCACAAGGCAGCTGACACCTGCTAGCTGTTCTAGCTTGTGCGTTAAGTACCAAATGATGAATACTGGGACAAAATTTTTGCATCAAAATGTATTGAGTACCAAATTTGATGAGTTTCAAAGCAATTGAGTAGCAAGATACCACTGTAAATTTATTGTAGAAATTTTCAAGATGAAATTAATCGTGTGAAATATATATACGAGAAAAAAATGATTGAGCCAGTCATAGTGAACTTTATGAAATTAGAACCTTTTAATGTTTAAGATGACTAGTGTGTATTTGAACTCTGAAAATTAGTTATTTCCAAAATATGAATTGTGTAGGCTTAAGAGAAAGATTGTACTGTTTACAAATCTGCAGTTCATTTTTTCAAGATGGTCGACTGTTCAATCCAAATTCCTGAAAACTTTTTTCTGTTCCTTGAATTCTTCAATAATAACCTTTTCAGCTATAGAATGAACCAGTTAATGTCTATAGGGCCATTTATTTTGTGTGAGATTTTGCACACTATGTACACCCAAATGCATGTAGTTTCCACCTTTCTGCTCTGTACTTGTTTAATGAGGGACTGAGTTTATCTAAACCATTGACTCTTCCAAAAGCTTTATTTGCTGAAACTAATGAATGCTTTTTTGTTCAGTTTTGACAGATTCAATAATATGTATATTCTTTTGATACAAAATTCCTGATTGTTGTTGGGTTTTGAAGATTGAAGGTAGTTTCTTCCAAACAAGTTTACTTTGTTTTGCAGGACGAAGAAGTTGATGTGAAGCCTGCTGCAAAATGTGAAGCTCCATTCACACACAAAGTTGACATGAAAGCTCGATTTGAACAAATGGCAAAAGCAAGAGAAGAGGAAGAACAGAGGAGAATTGAAGAACAAAAGCTGCTACGTATGCAATTTGAACAGAAAGAAATAGATGCAGCATTACAAAAGGTATTAGCATCTACTGGATCTCCATAATATACAAGTTTTTTTTACTGTAAGCTAATAGAATCCTTATTTGCAGTGGCTGTGTACATATGGACAAATATTTTATTGCATATTTATTCTGCTTTTGACATCTTTCTGTAGTGGCCACATTAGAGCATTCACTGACCAAACCTCACTTGCCTTGAATAAATTACATTCACATGTGAAAAAAGCAACCTAATGAAACTGCTGTTCTGCTATGCTATAATCCACTGTTTTAATTCTTGTTCTTAAAAAGATGCTCAGGCATATTTTATTCTCACTAGCCTGGAAGATAACTGCCTGTTTGTGTCAGTGTTAGGTAGATATAACCCAAGCCTTTTAAAATCCAATTATCAATATTAGTTTCTGTTTCTTCACAACTTGTGTTAAAATATTCACAATGTCTGTTTAAATGCAGAAAAGAGAGGACGATGAAGATGAGGAAGGGAGTATTGTTAATGGCTCAGTGTATGAAGATGAAGAACAGCAAGCCCGTTCTGGTGCTCCATGGTTCAAAAAGCCTCTTAAAAATGTATCTGTTGTGGACAGTGAACCAGTACGGTTTACTGTTAAAATAACTGGTGAACCCAAGCCAGAAGTTACATGGTGGTTTGAAGGGGAAATGTTGCAAGACTGTGAGGATTACCAATACATTGAAAGAGGAGAAACATACTGCCTTTACTTACCAGAGACCTTCCCGGAAGATGAAGGAGAATATATGTGTAAAGCGGTAAACAGTAGAGGAACCGCTGCTAGCACCTGTATTCTCACTATTGAAAGTAAGAGATAGCATTTCACAGGTTATCAAGTCTTCAGTTCTTGTTCTCTGTTGATTCTCTTAACTCCTCTTTCTTCTCTTCTCTCCCTTAGCTGATGACTATTAAATATCCTACCATTTCTGGAGCCTTCCTTCCCTTCATTCACTACATCTATCTTTTTCTCCTGTGGTGGGGCCAAGAAGTTGTCTATCATTCCTCAAGTAGAATACTTTTCAGACTGAAATTCAGGCAATAAAAGTTTGGTTCATTTAACATATAGCAGTGCAATCTACAAATGGTGGCTGCTTATTTATGCCATTGTACTGGTCCATTGATGATGTTCCACAAGGCAAATCAAACTGCATGAAACGGTTTGCTATTGTTCTAAAACCTTTCATTATGACAACATAAAATATGTGATCAACCAAAGCACTCTTGAATGCACTAAATAGGAAGAAGAATTGACCAGAAAATCTCAATTATATTGTTTGCAACTTTAATTTTATGTCAAAACAGCATGGCAAGTTTGTAATTTTTAATCTTTTAGCCAAGACCAATTTATCTATACAAATGTTTCAATCAGGGCAACTTTGAGGACAAAAAAGTATGTCCTTTGTTACACTATTAGCTAAAAGGTAATGTACTGTTTAAGTTACACTTTGCTTAACATTTTTATTTCAAAATGTATGAACAAAATAAAACCAAGACTATTAACGGCCTGAAATCAAATTTGTACTATTAAATTATGCATTCAGCTATAAATTAAGTTCTTTAAAATCAAGTATTTGCTTTTTATATGGTATTAAGATGGTAGATTTCAGCTCAGTATTCCAGACAAGATGCTGGGCAAATCTGCATCATATTCAATTTGTTAGCGCAATACCGGATAGCTTTTCAATTTGCATCTCATTTATATAGAACTTAATGAATCATCTCACTACTATTTCCAAATTAAATAACATATATTATTAGTATAGTTATATATCTGGAACATATTAATAATGATTTTTTTTTTGGGGGGGGGGGTGCTAAATGAAAAGTAGTTAACTAAATTCCATCACATATTAAAATATGCACTGGAACTTCACATGCATTTGCAAATCTTCCAGTTGGTTTGGGCTTGTATTTTAGTTGTCAGAGCAAGTCAGAATAATTTTTATGCAGGCGATTTTTTCTTAAGTATGTACCAAATTACTTATTCTGTATTTAATGGAAGGATAATAAATATGTTCTGTTCCTAAAGTTGAATGTTTTCTTCTTTATCACTCATCTTTTATAGGTTTTTGGATATATTTTAAAAATATTTTTTAAAATAATCAATTCAAAAATTAAATAATGCAAAGGACAAATTTTCATCCATTAGTTTACATTTATTGAGAATTCATACAAAACAGTACAATTCATGTATTTGCATGAGTACATACATTGTCAATAGGCAAGCTCAACACAACATATTGGAAAGCATTGGATTTACCTCACGTCCAAGCTGCATCTGCCTAAGATACTTCCCATCACAGTAGCCTTTAAAAGACAGTCTTCTTTTTTAACACGGGTAGTTTCTGCAGAGAACACTATTCTCAGGACGAAAATGCCTTTCATGCATATTAAGATAAAGTTGCATAAATGTAAGAGTTTGATAGGGTACTACAAATAGAAAAATGGATCTATTGTACATATTCTGTAGGACCCAATGTTTTACTTTATAAAAATCCTAATACAAAGAAAAATGTAAAATTCTACCCTCAAACTTATGAAATGTATCCCAATTGACAATATTTTTAGAAGAAAGGATTAGTGAATGATACAGCCTACCTATCAAGATCACTGAGGTGTAATTTACAAAACTCTAGTTAGAGATTGCTTTTTAACTAGCAAATATCCTATACAGAACACATACCAACAGATAAATCTAAAGACATTAGCTGAAATTAAGATATTCCTCTGTTTTAAAACATTCATTACTTTCATTTAATCCTGGGATTCAATTAGAATTTAGAATTTTTTTTTCCTGCTATAACACACAAACTGCACAAGGAAAAAACTATCTATGCATTCAGCTCAAAGGTTCATATTGAGAGTAGAACACTTCAATCCAACCTTATCTTTCTGAAAGAAATCAGACAAACCAAAAATAAAAGCTATAGTACAAGAGATGCCTATAGGTCCACCGAAACAAAAAATATTAACACAGATCTTCACCTCCTACATCAACAACTTTTTTTCCTGTTACATCTCCTGACTTTGACTTAAATTTCAATTTATGCTGTTTGTTAAAAATGAATAGGAAAAAACAAGTTTTCTTTTATAATGCTGAAACAAAATTCAACCAAGATGAAGCTCTTCAGCATGTAGCTAGCTTTCATATAAAAATTTATCTGACATATCAAAGTATATCCCCCCCAAAATAAAATAAAGTGGCTTGAGGGAATTCAAGTACAACTACTGATTTAGTTGTAAACGCAAGACATATCCGTGCTTGACTATTTAGCAAAGTGTAAACTGATAAATAATTTTTATAATCACACAACAAGTTATGGAACATTTATGGTCAAGCAAATAGCACTTAAAAGAATGAGAAGCGATAAAAACAGGCAAATTATACCCTACACCATTAAGTATGGGATACATTTAAAATCGGTATTGTTTTTGCCAATTTTACCTTCTACATGGAGCCCTTCTATGGTCCATGCTCATCGGCTCACCAGGGCCATACACTCAAAGGAATCCTCTTTATTGGAAGTAACTATCTCAGGACCTGATTTTATGAGCTATGATTTGGTGCTTGCAGCATCTTCAGCACTGTGTGTGAAAATGAAGGCAGGGTTTTTGAATATTTTCCTTTCATGCACAGAAAAGCAGGACTTTCGATAAAATCAAAACATTTTATTAAGTGACAAACAAAAACTGATGGTACTGCCTTAAAATTGTCTATTTAAACTGAAAATTAAGCTACCTAGGTAAGTCATATACAAAACATTTTAAAACTAGCAAAAATATACAGCAATTCAGCTGAAATAGCAAAGTAGGAAGGAAATTCCTATAAAAAGAAAAGATCTGCCAAACTTGTTAACATATCACTGGCACAATATTTTTAGAACTATTTTGCAAAAGTAAAATCTCACTTGTTTTCCTTCTGCATAAAATAATCAAGCTATATTAATTTATGGTTTATGGTGTATCATCTTAAGATTGAGAGAAACATACAGTATATTTGAATACGTAGTATTTGGGTATAACATCCACATTATAGAAGCATTTGTGAAGGCTGTTGAAGTTCTGACCAATATTTCCTGTATCTTGAAAAAATATTTTATATTCATTTGTAACAACTATTGAGGGAAAATAGTAAAAGTGACTTACTCAAAAATTATTGCAGCAATCCACTTATCTTTAAAAAAATAAAGATACACATTTACCCAGAAATGTAAATAATTGTTTCAGAATTCTCATTGGAATGAAACCATGAATAGCAGAATACATTTGGGAAAAGATATTGGCAGATTGCTTTTGAATACACAAGCACAAAAAAAATCTCACAGGGACAACATTGATATACTGAAATATGTATTTATACACTTCCTTAGGTTGTGCTTACCTGTGCTTTTTGCAGCAGAACCTAAGGTGGAAGATCTGGGAAGGCACTGTGAAGTATAAATAATTGCACTGTTTGCAATTAATAAAGATTTTATACTTTAAATGAATCAAAATCAACAGCCTCCATTTGGTGAATGATAAAGAATCAGGTGAATGTTTGTTCTGTTTAGTTAATAACTACACCATTTTCCAATAAGCTACAGACTTAACATGCAAAATATTTAAGAGACTTCATAGCCTACTTCTCTATATATTTATTAACTTCTAGTAGTCTTTTCAAAATGTAAATCCTAAACTAAACTGGGATAAAAAAAAATCCTTCCTGATTCTACAGTAGAACAAATGCATTTCTAATTATTTTTGCAATAATACTACTTCATTTTAAACCACATTCAGTTCTTCTCTTGCAGCCACTCTAAATGAACACTCCAAAACAACAAAATGATTTTCTAAAGATAAGGCTAATAAAGATTTAGAAAAATAGTATATAGCTGCATCACTAATATGCAGACAACTGAAGACAAAAACAACTTCCTCCTGACAAGCATTTTTAAATGTTAACAATTTGTAAGTTGATATCTGAATATATCTCATTTCTGAAACCCTAATGAACAATGTTAGTTCATTGATGAATTCTTTAGCTAAAGCTAAATATCTCAAAATACTTACCCATACACACACATTTTTGTCTGATTAAACAACCAATTGCAATTTTCTAAAATATCAGCACTGTATTTTATTCCAACATAATATTCACACAGGTATGGCATTTGCATTATGTGGAACACTGACAAAAAGATACTGTTGCAGTTCATCATTTTGTCACTCTGATGTACTTACAGTGCAATGCTCCTTGAAGGAACAATCAAGGATGATAACACAGCACAGTCCTCCTCACCCCTACAGAGCTAGTTCTATACTGGCTGGATCAAACCTGCACTTCAACAGACAATGGCAAGACAAACTGTATTGCATGTAATCTAATATATGCAAAAAAGCAAACAGTGGATTTTTAACAGAACACCAATTTTCAATTATAATTATTAAAAGTAAAACGTATGACAGAGACTTTTCAAACATAACTTAAAAGCTAGTCTTTCAACATTTAAACAGACCTTATCTGAAAAAACCTTTTTTTCATTAAGCATTCCAAGACTCAAACAGTATGTTTCTACAACAAATGCAGTTTTATAACTAAAAAGCATAATCATCCTTACTACACTAAAATCTATAGCAAAGTGCTGGAAACCAACCGCTTAGCACATTTTGTTTTTCTAGATAACTGACTTTAATAATGTGTCTGGAAAATATACTAAAGAATTAAATCATACATAAAACAAATGTTAACTATAGCAGCTATACGGGTCTGGGACAGTGGTCATGAATAAAAAAGAAATTTCAACTGTTAATGCAGAAGTATGTCAAGAAATACCTTCACATACATGCAATTTTTACACAAGTAGAAAGAAGATATCAGAATGCTAAATAGTAACATACAATCACAAAAGAGATCCCTCTAAACCTATTCTGGGGAAATACCAACATCAAGCCTGAACTTAAAAGAGAGGGGAAAAATCTTACTTGTGTACATGTACAGAATTACTAAAAAAAAAAATCATTGAATTCTCTTGAGTACCCACATATCCAACTTACCAACACAGGAGGTTTCATATTATTTATTGCAAAGCACAAAACAAGCATTTAAAAGTGATCAAGTATACATTGAAAAAGTACATTTATATCACAAAGCATTGACCACATAATAGTTGCAAATACATTTGCTGGAATGTGTACATCTACACTAATGTACTAAAAACAAACCAATTTCCATTTCTACACAGAAATATTACCTCCTATCAGTTGTGATAGATATTTTGTACATTTCAAAAAAAAAACCACTATTTTTAAACCAAACAAAATTATGATCTTCATCAAGGCGTCTGCATCCATACATTTAACAAAGGTTTTTTTCCCCCACATAATGAAGCAAATACTGTATTGTCCACTTCTTATTATTGGCCCTGTGCGAAGAAATACATAAGAAATACACAAAATGTTAAAGAAAATATTTTTAAAAAAAATTGCGCTAACTCAGGAGTGAAGCCTTTAAGAAAGAAAATTTGGTTAATGCAATGGTGGTGGCTTCCTGCATGGCTTTCAAAAACCCTGAGGAGAAATTTTTAGATCACAAACACTGAATGTATGCAAAGACAAACACAGATCTCCAGTTAAAAGCATTAATTCATTTGCAGTTACGTTTTATCAGGAAAAATGCATACTTCAGAAAGGTATCTATGTGGGAGGCATGCAAAAACAAACAAAATTCCACCCCACAAAAATTGAAAGAAGTATCTCACTAAAATATTAGCTAAATAATTAAAGACTGTTTTACCTGTGGTGCTGGAGGATGTTGTGGCATTCCTTGTGGACTTGTCTGGGCATAATAAGCTGCCTGCTGTCGGTAGTACTCAGCCCATGCTGCACTGTAATCTGGCTGACCTGTTGGTGGGGCTCCAGTTGGAGCTGGAACAGCTTGACCTAGAACAAATGTAGATTACACAACGCTGGTGCCATAAAAGGGGCAGAAGGAAGCTCAAAATAATCTCATTTCTAACGAACATTACCTTGCTTCTTGTAATATTCCTCCCAAGCCTTTGAATAATCTTGTGGCTGCCCTTGTTGACCTGCAAAACCCCCCACATTTTAATGTAAACACAGCTCCCATGTATACCACAATTACAGTCAAGAATACAATGGAAGAGTTCTTTGCTGTTTTGTTTTAATGTTTCGTGAAAATCAGAAAATATTAAAATCTAATATTTTAGTTTTAGTTCTAGAGTTTTTAACAGATTTAAAATTTATTGAGTTCAATTTTTATACCGTAGTCTGTTGTATGCTATATATGTTTGCTCAACATAGGTATATGATAGGCCAATAATTCATCCAAACCAGCTTTCATAATCCAACCTACTTTTGCTAGTTTGAAAATGCTTCAAAATGTATCCATATTCTACGCAAGTGTGTAGAAAAACTATTCTTATTATATGGTTTATAATATATAAGGGGCCGGGTGCCCCAAGTGAACTTGCTCTGAAATCTATACCCAAGAGTATGTGCTCTCTTCCTCTTCTATTTATGAAAACATCTTCCAATATTAAAAAACATAGTTTTTTAAAAATCAAAATATGCTTAATACTTAGGTTGACTTTTGTTTTTGAGGACTAGCATGTAGTAAAAGAATGCAGGATAGCAAAAATTGCTCAGCAACCATAAAGCTGCTTTTAAATCAACTTATTACTGATTCTTATTTTTAATTAAACATTTTAAATTGTTTTCCAACTATTTTAATATAAACAATAAAAGAAAATGGATAAAGAGAAACTGTTAAGATACACATGGGTGAGTCATTTTGTATTTAAGAAAGTAAGTGTGGAGGTTTAAAGTAATACTAATATCTCAATTCTCATTTATATGTCAAATTGCTATGCATTTATTTTCAGAATAAATTTTGTGAAGAATATTAATTAACATGTTAAGATAATGTCCAAAAGCTCATATAGGTACCTTAATATGAATACATTATTTAGTTCTATGGTTTCAGTTTCTCCATTATTAGTTCATTCTGGTTCTTCAGACTATATATAAACTGATATCTAAAACTAATTTAGGCAGCATGCTTAACATTAAAAGGGCATAATATCTGACGATCATGAATTTTCCTACCCTACCTACTTAAATTTAGCTTGAAGTGAATTGTGATGTAAATGTGTGGATTGCAATGCTTCAAAAATAAGCCAATTTATATTGTGAAAACAGTCACTGTGAGAAAAATGAAGGGCACAAAAAGAAAAAAAAACGGATATTACAATATTTTCTAATCCTCTTAATTCCAATTCTGAAACTATCAAAACTAGTTACAAGCAACATTTTATTGGGATAGATACATTAATTGTAACTAGATTACATTTGTATATTTAACATGTAGGAGGGGATGTCACCTCTATAACAATTGTCTATATCATAACATCATATGTTGTCAAAATAATTTGCCAACTACTAATTTCATTGGAGAAAGGATAAAAACACTGAACTAAAAAAATAAACTTTTATTTATAAAAATAAAAATTATAATATGCTAATTTGAACCTTAAATAATTAGTATTTAAGATTCAGTGTTACAAGGTTAGAAGGAAATTAGAAGATATACAATTAAGTGCTTCAAAAAAATTAACCAGTGCCAAATTTTAGCAAAACTCAATATGGTAAATGGAAATGTATACAGCATTCTCACCTGATTTACAAAACCAGGAGTGGTTATATTTTCTTATTGTGCTTTAAGTGATTTACACTTAAAATCTCTTGCATGTATTAAAATTAGATTGACAACACTTTGGCAATTAATATTCTGATAGTATTAAGATGGCATAATTTTAACATCTACTGTATTTCTCAGAAAACATGACCCACCCCAATAATAAGCCCAATCCTAATTTTTTGAGGGTGGACCTAATATTAACCCTTCCCCAAAAATAAGTCCGGGGGATGGACATGGCCAGCATGAGTGGCGGCATGAGCATGGGGGGCGGCAAGTGTCAGCTGCAGAGAGGGGCAAAAGTCATTCTGCGCTGAAGCAGAGGCATTCCGAGCCTTCAGTATATCCCAGGATTGCAACGCTGAAGATTTGGAATAGAGCCTTCTGTGCTGCAATCCTGGGATACACTGAAGGCTCAGGGTGGAGCCATTTTCGTGAAAGGCAGGAAAATGGGGAGGGGAATTTTCTTGCCTGTTATCCATTCCTCTTAGAGCAGGACCCTGCTTCATCAAACCGGTGCAGCTGGCATCCTACCGTGAGCAACTGCGCTAGTGTATCCAAACTCGCGGTAGTGCCGCCGCTTGCACACACAATGCTACAACAAGCCTTGCAGGGTCCTGGGATATGCTGAAGGCTTGTAGTGGAGCCATTTTTGAGAAAGGCAGGAAAATACAAACAATGAAATAGTCTAGGACTAGCATTTTATGAATATATTTTACTAACATGTGCTTTCATGACCACTAACACCAGAATAGGGTTTATAGTATCAGAAGATTTGGGGTCATTTTTTCTTGCTAGAAGCACTTTAAAGGGCAGATATGTTTTTTAAATGAATGGGATTGGATCCATTTTAACCGTTTGCTTAATTATTTAATTTTGCCACAAAAATCCTGTCTTAACGCATCTGATATGAGAAACAGAAAACAGATCATAATGGAATCGCCCTACGGCATAGTATCAACATAATCTAACCCTAAGCAAGTATAGATAGGCCTCATCTAGAGCCTGTTTTGATGCCCTCCTATCAGGTCTATTTTACTGAGTTCATGGGACTCCTTATTTGCAGAGACCTTGCCCTTGTGTATTCAGGGAGGCAAACTCTTATTCGTGTCCTCATACGTCCTTTTTATGATGCTCAAACATGTTCTGATCCTCTCAATCACTTCCAAGTATGAGGACCACACTGATAAATTTTAGATTAATTACCTTTTAAGGGATGCTAACCCCACCCTCACATAACAGATGGCCAATATTCATACAACTGCGCAAAACTTTAAATTAGATGTTATACTGTCCTATTGTTTTTTCTTTCCAAGTAACATTTTTTTGTTAAGCTGTTTCTCATTTTTATTACAAAGACTAGTCAAAAACTATAATAAATATATTTGATCTTTTTTTTTACTATAATCGAACAGTAAAAATTAAAGTTTTGATGTCATTTTTGACTTTTTGTTCCCATGTTAGCTGCTGGAAGCATTCTCAGACATGAATGGACTGGATTCATTTAGTGGCTCTTAGTCTCAAGTATTGATGTTTCCACTAAAAAAATTGCTTTGGCAGTTTTGGAAACGTGCCCAGTTTAAGTCCATCAAATAAAGCTTATTAAACTTATTCAAATTAAAATTGTGTATGAATCAGTAAAGCTTCTGAGAAGTAAAATTTAAAAATCAAAAGTAAATAAAACATACCCATTTTTTTATAGTATTCTTCCCAAGCCTTGGTATAATCTACCTGCCCTGCTGGTGCTGGATTTGGTTGATCTCCTGATTGAACAAAAATTAGTGTGAGTAAAATAAACAACTAAAAAGATTCAGTTCCAATCACATTTTATTCTAATTAAGAGTAAAAATCTTACATTAAAAGCTAACATTTTTGTTTTCAAATATTTTGCAAGTCTCAGTTCAGAAATGCCTTATTTGCATGTATCATGCACAGAACTTAGCTGCAGATGCCCCATCTTTTAACCATCAAGACATGTACATTTCTTTATCTGGGGAGATTAATCAGACCTCTTCAATAATTCAACTGTTCTAGTTATATTTATTGGAACCAGTCATGCACAAATCCATGCCCCTTAGGGGTCCACGTACACAAAATCCTTGTAATGGCAACATTTCCTGTTGCATGTGTCCACATTGTACCATCATTATACCAAAAAGAATACTTGGAAGAATAAACAATCCAAGCTAAGAACACTATTTTTTGTTTGATTCATGTGTAATCATTTCACTGGAAACATAAACCTGTAAGTCATTATGTTGACCTTAATTTTAAATTCAAATTCAGTTTTTGGTTTTCACCTAATGGTCTACAATCAGAGTATGTTCTACTGGATTATTTTTCACAATTCCTGCTGATTATTGTAATCTTTCTCTTATATACTTGAAAATTAAACTGGAATCCTACATTTCTTTAAAAAACCAAGCTTGTATTGTATTACCTTCACAAGCCTATTACCCTCATCTCTTTTACACTGTGCAGGATTTTATATCCTGATTTAACATCAACTCAATTTCAATGGAGTAACCAATTTTCTTGCAAAGCATAAACTGAAAGCAAAGATAATGTATACAAAACTCCAGACTGCAGTAGTGAAAAGGCAAGTCTACCATTGCTTGGGGCTCATTCCCATATTACCAAAACATTTTGGCATATAGTATGAATTCAGATTTTGTTCCTGACAAATAACTTTAGGGAAAAAAATTCTTGAATTTTGGACACATTTTATGAAAAGGATGATATACTGGGAGTTGTATTTAATTGGCTCATCAACATAATTGCTTGCAATATAAGAAAACTAGTAAGTGATATAGAGATTACTGGAAAGATGGTTGCCCAAATTCCAGCCCAACTTTGGTTAAAATTCTCATTAATCTAATGCCTTATCCTAACTTAGCTGACCCAAACATTTTTAGGTTTGTCTTACTAACTGATTTTAGTACTGAAACCAGCTTACAATATACAAAGCTTCAAATATTTAAATGGTGAAACTATAATAAAAAACTTTCAAAATATTCGAAGGTTTGAATAAGATACTTCAACTGTTAAAAAAGCTATTTTGGTATATTTGTTTATATTTATACAAGCACGGTACCTTGTCCGTTAGTCTGAGTGGCAGGTGGTGCACTAGGTGGAGCTGCAGGGGGTGGCTGTGCTTGCTGTTGATAGTAGTGGGCGTAATAGGCTGCCCAAGCTGCTGAATTAGGATCTGCTGGCTTACCTGAAAATTACCCATGACATTTAGTTCAACATCTCAAGATATCACTAAGATCAGTTGCCATTTACATTCATTCCTATGAAAGATAAGATCTATAAAATAAACTCTCAGAACATTAATTGTTCATGACAGCATGTAAGTAATGAAACAAACCACTTCGTTTTTTTCTCTTTCTTCTATCTATCTATCTATCTATCTATCTATCTATCTATCTATCTATCT